GATCCCTACAGAGGGAGACAGATGGATGGCCAGGGAGGGATGCAGCCTGTGCTATCGCCTTTTCACACACTCCTGTCTCCAGTGCTAATAATAAGTGGAGCTTCTCCCTCCCATCCTCATGCCAATAGCTGTGGAAGAAGAAGTGACGTTAGCGCTGACGCAGGACAGGGGCAGAATCTGAGTCTCCTGGAGCCCAAAGGGAGCAAGACAAAGCAACAAGAGGGGGGTGGGCAGGGGGGATCAATGGGGGTTCGCCTTCATCGTTATGCATGCTGCCCTGCACACACTCATTGCCCTCATCAGATACCTTGAAATGGACAAAAATGGCTCCATCCACATCCATTGCACATGATCCAACTACACCTACACAGGACGTGATCGGAATGCAGACTGCTACCAATGGAAGGCACGATGATGCCTATGGCAGATCCTGGGCACCCAGCCCCCCTTGCCCTGAGTCATGTATACATGGGTTGCATCTCCTACTTAGATGTCATCCAGTGTGTGGGATGCGCTCATCCTGATCACCTGTCAGGACATGCCAGCGCTTAAAGGGTTCCCAGATCTGTGCTGGGCGTAGTGTACAGGAGATACTAGTGATCAGCATAGCCCATTACTAAATCCTGGCTAATCAGGAATGCACGGCGTTAGAAATGTGTGTCTGGGAAGATGGCTTTTCATTTGTGGTTTTGGGAGGTTTTTTTCCGCAGTAATTTAAAAGAAGCAGAGAAATCTACCGCATTGACAGGAGAGGAGGATCACGGCGACACAGAGAGCTCTGCTGACACCAACTGGACGAAAACGGGTTCTGCAGCTAGAAAAAAGGAGCAGTACAAAAGTCACCTTTGTGGTCTGCTGCTGCAGCTTTATGCAACCTGTTTTATTTTTAATTATTATGATCATGGGGGAATCCTTGAAATCACTTTTAGTGCTCAGGGAACCCTCATTTATAATCGTTATATCTACAGAGTGCAAAGTTCATGGGTGCACTACACAAAGAGTGTAGAATTCAGGGGTGCTCTACATACAGAGTGCAGAGTTCAGGGGTGCACAATGTACAGAGTGCAGAGTTCATGGGTGCACTACACAAAGAGTGTAGAATTCAGGGGTGCTCTACATACAGAGTGCAGAGTTCAGGGGTGCACAATGTACAGAGTGCAGAGTTCAGGGGTGCACTATGTACAGAGTAGAGGGATACACTATGTACAGAGTGCAGAGTTCATGGGTGCACTACACAAAGAGTGTAGAATTCAGGGGTGCTCTACATACAGAGTGCAGAGTTCAGGGGTGCACTATGTACAAAGTACAGAGTTCATGGTGCACTACATAAAGAGTGTAGAATTCAGGGGTGCTCTACATACAGAGTGCAGTGTTCAGGGGTGCACTATGTACAGAGTGCAGAGTTCATGGGTGCACTACACAAAGAGTGTAGAATTCAGGGGTGCTCTACATACAGAGTGCAGAGTTCAGGGGTGCACTATGTACAGAGTGCAGAGTTCAGGGGTGCACTATGTACAGAGTAGAGGGGTGCACTATGTACAGAGTGGAGGGGTGCACTATGTACAGAGTGGAGGGGTGCACTATGTACAGAGTAGGGGGGTGCACTATGTACAGAGTGGAGGGGTGCACTATGTACAGAGTAGAGGGATACACTATGTACAGAGTGCAGAGTTCATGGGTGCACAACACAAAGAGTGTAGAATTCAGGGGGTGCTCTACATACAGAGTGCAGAGTTCAGGGTTGCACTATGTACAGAGTAGAGGGGTGCACTATGTACAGAGTGGAGGGATACACTATGTACAGAGTGCAGAGTTCATGGGTGCACTACACAAAAAGTGTAGAATTCAGGGGTGCTCTACATACAGAGTGCAGAGTTCAGGGGTGCACTGTGTACAGAGTAGAGGGGTGCACTATGTACAGAGTAAAGGGGTGCACTATGTACAGAGTAAAGGGGTGCACTATGTACAGAGTGCAGAGTTCATGGGTGCACTACACAAAGAGTGTAGAATTCAGGGGTGCTCTACATACAGAGTGCAGAGTTCAGGGTTGCACTATGTACAAAGTACAGAGTTCATGGGTGCATTACATAAAGAGTGTAGAATTCAAGGGGTGCTCTACATACAGAGTGCAGAGTTCAGGGGTGCACTATGTACAGAGTGCAGAGTTCATGGGTGCACTACACAAAGAGTGTAGAATTCAGGGGTGCTCTACATACAGAGTGCAGAGTTCAGGGTTGCACTATGTACAAAGTACAGAGTTCATGGGTGCATTACATAAAGAGTGTAGAATTCAGGGGTGCTCTACATACAGAGTGCAGAGTTCAGGGGTGCATTATGTACAGAGTGCAGAGTTCATGGGTGCACTACACAAAGAGTGTAGAATTCAGGGGTGCTCTATATATAGAGTGCAGACCTCAGTGGTGCACTACACAAAGAGTGTAGAATTCAGGGGGTGTACCATGTACAGAGTGCAGAGTTCCAGGGTGCACTATGTACAGAGTACAGAGTTCATGGGTGCACTACACAAAGAGTGTAGAATTCAGAGGTGCTCTACATACAGAGTACAGAGTTCAGGGGTGCACTACATACAGAGTTCAGGGGTGTGCTCAGAAGCGGACTGACAACTCATGGGGCCCCCGGGCAATAGGGGGTCGTGGGGCCCCTGTGCCCTTGCCCAAACTCAAAAAAGCCTATGAAAAAGGTACCAGGGGTATCTCATGGGGCTCCCTACTGACCCCGGGCCCTCAGGCAGTGCCCGAGTTTTCAAATGGTCAGTCCGCCCCTGGGTGTGCTACATACAGAGTGCAGAGTTCAGGGGTGCACTATGTACAGAGTGCAGAGTTCAAAGGTGCATTACATACAGAGTGCAGAGTTCATGGGTGCGCTATGCATAGAGTGAAGAATTCAGGAGTGCAGTACATACAGAATGCACAAGTCAGAGGTGCACAACATACAGAGAGCAGAGTTCAGGGGGGTGCTACATACTGAGTTCAAGGGTGCACTATGTACAGAGTCCAGAGTCCAGGGGTTCACTACATAGTTCAAGGGTGCACTACATACAGAGTACAGAGTTCATGGGTGCGCTACACATAGAGTGAAGAATTCAGGGGTGCACTACATACAGAGTGCTGAGTTCATGGGTGCGCTACGCATAGAGTGCTGAGTTCAGGGGTGCACTATGTACAGAGTGCAATGTTCAGGAGTGCGCTACATACAGATTGCAGAGTTCAGCCCGTTTCCACAGCTGCTTATCTCTGCATCCCCCATTGACATCTCATTTTACCTCTCTTCAGCTATGACCTCTGCACAAAACTCCACTGCCCTCATCTTCTCACCCACTCCTTAGAAGCTCCACCAACTTCCACATGCCTTACATTTGTTGCCATAATAGGCTTAAGCACCCACTTGGCTCTAGTATCTCCTTGCACACTTTAGGTGGCTCCACCTCTTTCACTTGCAGGGAGATCATCCAGTGGGGGCATCGGCATCCAGGCACTAGGGAAAATAAGGGGAAATCACAGAGGGTGCAGCCTACCATGTGACCCCTTCTGCTCATGGATGCACTGCACCCCTGGCACAAGCATCTCCTTTGTCATAGTTACATAGTTAAAAAAATTAGTTTGGCTGAAAAAAGACTAATGTCCATCCAGTTCTACCATTAAAAAAAGTTAATCCTATACCCACAGTTGTTCCAGAGGAAGGTAAAAAAAACCCAGAAAAGCATGATCCAATTTGCTCCTGCAGGGGAAAAAATTTTTCCCTGATCCCCTGAGAAGCAATCGGATATTCCCTGGATCAACTTTACCTATAAATGTTAGTATCCAGTTATATTCTGTGTATCCAAGAAAGAATCCAGGCCTTTTTTAAAGCAATCCACTGAGCTGGCCAGAACCAACTCTTGAAGGAGTCTGTGCCACATTTTCACAGCTCTTACTGTGAAAAAACCTTTCTGTATTTGGGAATTAAATCTCTATTCCTCCAGATGTAAAGAGTGCCCCCTTGTCCTCTGTGATGACCTCAGGGTGAATAACTCTACACCGAGTTCACTATATGAACCACTGATGTATTTATACATGTTGATCATATCCCCCCATAATCTCCTCTTCTCAAGAGAGAATAAATTCAGTTCCTCTAATCTTTCCTCATAGCTGAGCTCCCCCATGCCTCTTATCAGTTTGGTTGACCTTCTCTGTACTTTCTCCAATTCTTCAATGTTCTTTTTGTGAATTGGTGCCCAAAACTGAACTGCATATTCCAGATGAGGTCTTACTAATGATTTGTACAGGGGTAATATGATATCTCTCTCTGGAGTCTATACCTCTTTTAATACAAGAGAGGATTTTGCTCACTTTAGAAACCGCAGCTTGGCATTGCATGCCATTATTAAGCTTCTGATCTACCAGAACTCCCAGAATCTTCTCCATCATTGATGTACTCCCCCAGTTGTACTCCCCCCAGTATGTATGATGCATGCATATTCTTAGCCCCCAAGAACATTTATCAACATTAAACCTCATTTGCCACATAGTTGTCCAATTAAACAGTGCACTGAGGTTGGCTTGTAATTTGGAGACATCCTGTAAGGACTTTACTCCACTGCACAGCTTGGTGTCATCTGCAAAGACTGAAATGGGATTTTTAATCCCAGACCATATATCGTTTATAAATATATTAAAAAATAAGGGTCCCAACACTGAACCTTGGGGTACACCACTGATGACCCTAGACCATGCAGAGTATGAATCATTAACCACTACTCTCTGAATACGATCTTTTAGCCAGTTTTCTTTCCATTTCCATACAGATTTTTCCAAGCCTGTAGACTTACACATTAGCCGTGTGTGGGGAACTGGCTCTATAATTACTTGGTAAAGATTTTTATCCCTTTTTAAATATTGGCACCACATTGGCCTTATGCCAATCCAGTGGTACTATGCCAGTCATTAAAGAGTCCCTAAAAATTAAAAACAATGGCTTTGAAATGACAGCGCTCAATTCTTTAACCTCCCTGGCGGTATTCCAGAGTGTAGCTCGGGGTAAAGTTTCAGTACCACAAGCGGTAACCCAGCGCTACACTCGGGCTTACTATGTGGCACTGCTCCGCGATCCCTCCATCACTTACCTTGTCCTGCGCTCCCGCGATGTCCCTCCTGCAGTGTCCCTGGCAATGTATTTCGGCGGATGCCGGCATCTGTCATCTGGGTTCCGTCCCCTGCGACCGTCAGGACATACAGGGGACGGAACTGGTGGGAAATTTGAAAATGACAAAAAGTGACATTCACTAAAATCACTAAAATCACATAGTAAAACATTACTGTATTAAACCATTTCACATACATTTTGTCCCAAGTGCTTTGTCCTGTGCCCTGCCTGCATTTTTACTGTTCTTTCTGCCTGGAAACTGAGAAACGTCCATGGCATCCAAAAAGCGTCCCTTTAGGTCAAAATTGGTTTTAGATCAGCTAGAGAACAGCAATAGTAAATCAGAACTACTTGCAGAATTGAGTGATAATGATTCGTTTGGAAATTTGTCATCAGACACTGAAAACGATTCTGCGACTTTGCTCAGTGATGTGCAAACTTGGTGCTATATTTCAAATTTCAGTGTTTTTGGTTTGATTATATTATTGAATTACATTTATTATTATATTATTATTTTTTTATGATTATTTATTAAATTATAATTTATGATTTCGTGTTTCAAGTTTTATCCTACACGGGATGTTTACTAGACTCTTGTTTGGAAAGATTTCAGTGAGTTATTCCTAAAAATTACAGGCCTACAATAAAAAAATACATATTTCCATGCAAAAAAATGTACCGCTTTGAGCACAGAAATATGGACGTAATCAGACCGCTAGGGAGGTTAAGGACCTGTGGGTGTATGCCATCCGGTACAGGTGCTTTATTTACCTTTATTCTGTCTAAATATTTCTGGATCATATCAATTGTGAGCCAATGTGGATCATCTGGAGCTGTGTCAATACCATGCCCATTATGGACAAGAGCTCCCCCATGCTCCTTCGTATACACAGAGCTGAAGAAGGTATTTAATAAATTTGCCTTCTCTTTTTCCCAAGTCACCCACTCTAGATTATTTTGAAAAGGGCCTACATGCTCGGACCTAAGCTTGTCCCTGTCTTGCACTCAGTGGGATCTGCTCAGGAGATCCAATCTATGGGAGCTGTAGGAAGACAAACTATCACACTTAAATGCAGAAGCATTTCTTCCTGTTCCAACATGACTTTGCAATAGTACACAAAGCAAGGTCCATAAAGACATGGATGAGCGAGTTTTGGGTGGAGGAACTTGACTGGCCTGTACAGAGTCCCAACCTCAACCTGATGGAACACCTTTGGGATGAATTAGAGTGGAGACTGTGAGCCAGGCCTTCTCGTCCGACATCAGTGCCTGACCTCACAAATGCACTTCTGGAAGAATGGTTAAACATTCCCATAGACACAGTCCTAAACCTTGTGGACAGCCTTCCCAGAAGAGTTGAAGCTGTTATAGCTGCAAAGGGTGGGACAACTCAATATTGAACCCTACGGACTACGACTGGGATGCCATTAAAGTTCTTGTGCGTGCAAAGGCAGACGTCCCAATACTTTTGGCAATATAGTGTAGCAGTGATCACTGTAGTAGCACTGACTACTGCAGTGATTGTCAGCTGCCCCAGCAATCCTTCAGGTATAAGATATGCATATTTACATTGATTCAAGCTGGACCAGTGGTGACAGATGTTTTACACTGCAGTAAAATGTCTGTCACCATAAATAGTGTGAATTAGCCCTAAAGGCCAAGCAACTGGCATTTTCAGATGAAAGTCAGAAATGGCAGCTCCCGTGCTTCTGCCATGACTGGTTTACTTTAAGAGATGGTGATGCTTATGCTGAAAAAACATTTGTTTTTTTCAAATATCCTAACAGATAAAAAGCCAAGTTATTCTGATCAGCATAAAAACTACCCCAGTACTGTAATTTGTACTGAATATTTATAAACCAGTGATTCTCAACCTTATTCATGCCAAGAGCCACTTAATCCAGCATATTTGTTAATTAGAACACTCATAATGACTTTTTTTTAAATTTAAAGTTTTATCCAGTTTTCATAATCTTACATGGAAACAATAGAATTTCATAGAAGAAATAGGAAAGCACAACAAAGAGAGATACCAATTAACTCCTTGGCGCCGACGCTACGCAAATATGCGGCCTCTCTGTGGCTAGGCCTTAATGCCGAGAGGCCACATATTTGCGAGCCAAATATAAACAAATGTGCAGAGAGCGCGTGCTCTGCACGCTCCCGGCACATTTATCGATGTTTCACAGAAAGGTCCCGATCATTACTTGCAATTGGGAGATTTCCGATCATGCAAGTGCTGAGACAGCTAATCATGGCAGTTGCATGACCCAAAACCCTACCCGCCTCCCGGCATCACAACCCCTTAAAGGGCCAGGAGGCTCCAAGAGATTAATATACAATTTGTCATGTAGCTGAAACACAAAGGACTTTTCAGGTGCTGAAACCTCAGGAAAGGACACCATATACTCACATGTTATCAAATTATTAATATATTAAAGCTTATATATAAAAATTAGTTGCAAGACTAAAATCTGCAGCCACAGCCACAAAGCAGTGATTATATCATAACACAGTGGTAATGCCAGCAGTAGTTTACATAAAGAGTACAAATTAAATATCACTGAAAAATTGGGGGGAAAAAAAGATGATAGGATAAAAATACACACATTGACATAATGGTGGGAACAACAAAATATTGCAGGACTTTATGCCAAAATAGGGATAAAATGCACAATACCAATAAAATACAATATTTTTTTTATGACAGAAAATTTTAAAAAGACAATGATAAAATGTATATAATATACAACATCATAGGCCATATTTATAACTATCATCTAAACTGTACAATCTCAATGGGAAAAATGTATTTAAATCTACGTAGATCCACTTTATTACAATCAGTAAACTCAGTTGATGAATAGATTATTCGATTCCACTTGAATTACTCACAATATTATCCTTTAGTTTTTTGGGTTTTTTTATAATATACAGTGGGGATCGAAAGTTTGGGCACCCCAGCTAAAAATTTGTATTAATGTGCATAAGGAAGCCAAGGAAAGATGGAAAAATCTCCAAAAGGCATCAAATTACAGATTAGACATTCTTATAATATGTCAACAAAAGTTAGATTTTATTTCCATCATTTACAGTTTCAAGATAACAGAAAACAAAAAAATGGCGTCTGCAAAAGTTTGGGCACCCTGCAGAATTCATAGCATGCACTGCCCCCTTTGCCAAGCTGAGACCTGCCAGTGTCATGGATTGTTCTCAATCATCGTCTGGGCAGACCAGGTGATGTCAATCTCAAAGGTTTTTAAATGCCCAGATTCATCTGACCATGCCCCAACAATCAGCACCATGGGTTCTTCTAAGCAGTTGTCTAGAAAACTGAAACTGAAAATAGTTGACGCTCACAAAGCTGGAGAAGGCTATAAGAAGATAGCAAAGCGTTTTCAGATGTCAATATCCTCTGTTTGGAATGTAATTAAGAAATGGCAGTCATCAGGAACAGTGGAAGTTAAAGCAATATCTGGAAGACCAAGAAAAATATCAGACAGAACAGCTCGCAGGATTGTGAGAAAAACAATTCAAAACCCACGTTTGACTGCACGATCCCTCCAGAAAGATCTGTCAGACACTGGAGTTGTGGTACACTATTCCCCTATAAAGAGATACTTGTACAAATATGGTCTTCATGGAAGAGTCATCAGAAGAAAACCCCTTCTACGTCCTCACCACAAAAATCATCGTTTGAACTTTGCAAATGAACATATCGACAAGCCTGATGCATTTTGGAAACAAGTTCTGTGGACCGATGAGGTTAAAATTGAACTTATTGGCCGGAATGAGCAAAGGTACATTTGGAGAAGAAGGGGCACAGAATTTAATGAAAAGAACCTCTGTCCAACTGTTAAGCATGGGGTTGGATCAATCATGCTTTGGGGTTGTGTTGCAGCCAGTGGCACAGGGAACATCTCACGAGTAGAAAGAAAAATGGATTCAATAAAATTTCAGCAAATTTTGGATGGTAACTTGATGCCATCTGTGAAAAAGCTGAAGTTAAAGAGAGGATGGCTTCTACAAAAGGATAATGATCCTAAACACACCTCGAAATCCACGGGGGATTACATCAAGAGGCGTAAACTGAAGGTTTTGCCATGGCCTTCACAATCTCCTAACCTCAACATAATTGAAAATCTATGGATAGACCTTAAAAGAGCAGTGCGTGACAGACAGCCCAGAAATCTCAAAGAACTGGAAGACTTTTGTAAGGAAGAATGGGCAAAGATACCTCAAACAAGAATTGAAAGACTCTTGGCTGGCTACAAAAAGTGTTTACAAGCTGTGATACTTGCCAAAGGGGGCAGTACAAGATATTAACTCTGCAGGGTGCCCAAACTTTTGCAGACGCCATTTTTTTGTTTTCTGTTATTTTGAAAGTGTAAATGATGGAAATAAAATCTAACTTTTGTTGACATATTATAAGAATGTCTAATCTGTAATTTGATGCCTTTTGGAGATTTTTCCATCTTTCCTTGGCTTCTTTATGCACATTAATACAAATTTTTAGCTGGGGTGCCCAAACTGTCGATCCCCACTGTACATTTGTAAACTGTGCACTTAGATGGTATTAAATACCAAAGTGACACTGTAATAATTGTTATCCCTTTATAGCGTGCCTTGAAGCTCTCCTTCAAAGCTGGGGAAAGAGGAAAAGCACAAGTAAAGCAAGGTCCTTGAGTCCAGGGACATTTGTGACATGCTATTAGTGCAGTGTAAAAAAAGCTCCAATTTGTAGAGAATGCCAAGTTACAGTTGTGGCCAAAATTATTCAACCCCCACTGAAATTGAGTGTTTTGGCCAGTTTGACATTGCTTTTGATCATTCAGTCATCTTGCTTACATTTACATTAAAGAGGCACTTGTAGGTCAGACAAATATAACATAACAGTTATAATGAAATAACCACAAATGTCTTTTCTGTGCTCACAGCATTATCAGTTTTATTCAACCCCCAAGTGACATTCAATCTTAGTACTTAGTACAGCATCCTTTTACAGTTATAAACAGCTTTTAAACGTGAAGCATAGCTTGACACAAGTGTCTTGCAGCGATCTACGGGTATCTTCGCCCATTCTTCATGGGCAAAGGCCTCCAGTTCAGTCACATTCTTAGGCTTGCGCACTGCAACTGCTTTCTTTAAGTCCCACCAGAGGTTCTCAATCGGATTTAAGTCTGGTGACTGCGATGGC